CTTGAAAAGAATTGTGTGGTCTGGTACAGCTTCCTGAAATCTTTATTTTAACTTTAAGATGATAAAAGTAATACATATTCAAGATATCATTTTTTATACAAGGGTTTTAAATTCATCTTTAAAATACTTTTAATATATATTTATTTTTTAGAGAGAGAGAGACAGACATTGTGCAAGCAGAGGAGGAGCAGAGAGAGAGGGAGACACAGAATCTGAAGCAGGCTCCAGGCTCCGAGTTGTCAACACAGAGCCCGAGGCAGGGCTCGAACTCATGAACCGTGAGATCATGACCTGAACTGAAGTCAGACATTTAACTGACTCAGCCACCCAGGTGCCCCAATTTTATTTTATTTTTAAGTTTATTTTATTTATTTATTTAGAGAGAGAGAACGAGCAAGCAGGGCAAGGGCAGAGAGAAGGAGAGAGGGTCCCAAGCAGGCTTTCAGCGGCCTACTTGGGGCTCGGTCTTACCAACTGTGAGATCACCACCCAAGCCAAAATCAAGAGTCAGAGCTTCACCAACTGAGCCATGCAGGTGCCCCAGGGGTTTTAAATTTAATTTCGACTGTATCAACCTTTCCCTTTATGGTTTGTGTATTTTACTTTCTCCTTAAACGCACAAGTGGCTGCAGTATCCTCTCCGTAAGTGTTCGTGTCCCGCAATGCGTCTTTGCGGTGCCTCCTGCCGTCGGGGGGTGCTGTCCTGTCTCAGTCCTGGAGTCTCCGTGCTGTGGCCACGGGAAGGGGGCAGGAGTGACACTGCCGCTGCTCCGAGCACGGAGGAGGGCTTCCCGGGGCTCCGCCAGCTGCCTGTAAGCGAACCCGCGCCAGCCTGCTGGGTGATGCGGGATGTGGCCCCATCACCCCAGGCGACAGCCCGTTCAGGCTCACGGGACAGCTGGCCGTGGTGCCCGAGTGAGCCCAGCAAGACCATAACAGCACCCAGCCCGGCCCGGCCCAACTGCTGACCTGCAGACTCACCAACACTAAAAAATTAGCTGTTACTTTAAGCCCCTAATGTTGGGCTGGTTTGTTAGGCAGCAATATTTAATACAGGTCTTATTGAAGAGAGCCCTCCCTGGGGCGCCTGGGTGGCTCAGTCGGTTAAGCATCTGACTTTGGCTCAGGTCATGATCTCACAGTTCGTTGGTTTGAGCCCTGCCTCGGGCTCTGTGCTAACAGCTCAGAGCCTGGAGGCTGCTTCCGATTCTGTGTCTCCCTCTCTCTCTGACCCTCCCCCGCTCATGCTGTCTCTCTCCTTCTCTCTCTCTCAGAAATATAAAAAAACATTTAAATTTTTTTTTTTAATAAAGAAGAGAGCCCTCCCTATCTTGAAGTCCTAAAGCATCTATCTTTCTGTATCCTCAAGATTTCTCCATTTTGTTTTCCATATTTATGTGCCATAATCGATCTGGAATTAAATGTTTACTGTGGGAAGTAGAGACCTAAGGCATTTCTGATTATTTGATCTTTTCTGAGTATTTGAAATATTTCATAATGAATACTATAGTCATTTTTATTTAAAAAAATTTTTTTAATGTTTATTTTATTTTTTGAGAGAGAGGGAGAGAGAGAGAGAGCGCGTGCCAGCAGGCATCGAGCCACCCAGCTGCCCCTTTGTAAATCTTATTTAACAGCTATATATTTCTTTTTATACTTGATCTTAGGCAAAAGGCCAAAAAGCATCACATATTTCTTTTTAAAAATGACTATAGGGGCGCCTGAGTCAGTCAGTTAAGTGTCTGACTTCAGCTCAGGTCATGATCTCGCATCTTATGGGTTCAAATCCTGCATCAGACTCTGCTGACAGCTCAGAGCCTGGAGCCTGCCTTGGATTCTGTGTCTCTGCCCCCCACCCCCCTTGCACTCTGTCTTTCCCTCTCAAAAATAAGTAAACGTTAAAACATTTTTTAAAAGACTAAAAAGATTTATAACAAAAATAAGAACAAGATCTCACAACTCAGCAATAACCACTTATAACACTGTGAAGGGGGAGGGGTAAAGTTTGGATCAAACTGTCTTCCATTTTTCTCACTTAGCATATTTATTTTCCTATAGCTAAATTACCCAAAATAATCTTTAAGGATCATATACAGCTTGTCGTAGGGCTGTGCCATATTTACTTAACCAGGCACATGTGTGAGGAACTTACTTAGGCCACCTCCCACTTTTCAATATGAATGCTAGTACAGCACTGTTTTTTTTAAAAAGGTTTTTTTAAAAAATTTATTTATTTTGAGAGAGAGAGTATGTCTATGTGCATGTGTGGGAGTCAGGGAGGAGCCACGCGCGCGTGCGCGCACGTGCGTGCAAGTTGGGGAGGGGCAGAGAGAGAGGGAGAGGGAAAATCCTAAGTAGGCTCCATGCTCAGCACAGAGCCTGACACAGGGCTCGATCCCACAACCCTGGGATCATGACCTGAGCCGAAATCAAGAGCCAGATGCTTAAATGAGTGAGCCACCCAGTGCCCCCCCCCCCCCCCCACACACTGAATACTCTTGCACAAATATTTCTGATTAGTTCTTTAGGATCATGTCTAGAAGTGAAGTTCTGGGGTCAAAAGGAATGAACGATTTTAGGATCCAAAGTGCAATCCTAGAGCGCACTGGTCATCCCCACCACACACCCCCAAGCTGTGCAGGAGTAGATCATCCAACCCCATGCTTCCCCAGAATGCTTTCTCTGAAATAAATGAAGATGCCAATCTCAGATGATTCACTGAGTCAGAACAAGATCACATGCTGGTGAGAACACAAGATTTGGAAGAAGCACATCATTTATTAACTTGGTACCTTCAGTTCCTCCTCTTGAGTTTATTATACTTGCCCCAGTACTCAGAGGCCACCTGTGCCTTGGGCGGCACCCTGCCCCACACAGCCTGAACCGAGAGCCAGGCACACGTGTTTGGGACACAGAATGGATTCCGACTGAGCCGTCGCTCAGAACCAAAGAAGGACACACTGGGGCACCCACCTCTCTGCTCAGGAGAGGCCAGAGGGGCCAGACGGTCAGTCATTCAAACATATCCGTGTCTGTTCTTAGCCATCACTGCACCAGAGGCTGGGCACACAACAGTGACCAGCCTAGAGAGAGAACTCCCAGTCGTAGAGGTAAGAGCTCTTAGAAGATCCAAGAGAGCGGGCGGAGGAGTGCCCCATGTAGCCTGGGGGCAGGGACAGCCTCCCAGGAGAGTGTGTGTCCAAATGGATCTTTGAATAAGTAGGGCTTGGCCAGGCTGAGAGGAACAGGTGTTCAAGGCAGCTACAGGACAGCCAGATTGTAGAGCACAAGGTGGAGAGTGCGGTGGAAGGGGCCGGGTCATGAGAAGCTCCCTGTCCGCTTGTCCTGTATCCAAGGTCCTACTGATCTGGTCCCATCACCCTTCTGAGCCCATCCCTCCTCCACACCCTCCAGCCCCCCCCCCCCCCCCCCCCCCCCCCCCCCGCTCCAGCCCCATCAGTGTCATTACTATTCTGCAAGCGCGCTCCCTCCCAACCTCTGCATTTGCCTCCCTCTCTACCCAGAATGCTCTTCCCTTGGATAGATGAAAGGCTTTCTTCCTCACTTCCCTCAGGCCTCTGCCCCAAATGTCATCATTTAAGCAGAGACGCTTCGCCTGATAAGCATATCCTCCTATACCGTGCCACTCCGGCCACCTAGCCTGCTTTATTTTTCTTCTGTTTCTTTTCTGTCTCCCACACCAGCATCTAGTAGAATGGGTGCTCCATGAAGATAAGGACATTGCTTTTTCATTGTTCAACCAAGGAAAAGCTACTGCATAGTCTGTCCCCGTGCCCAGAACACTGGCTGATGCCTAACAGGTGTGCCATAAACATTCATTGGACAGAAGGATAAATTTTGTCATAAAGGTGATGAGGAGCCACCAAAGAGGTTTTAATTTGGAGAGAAACAGGCAGATTTGCCCCACAGATGTCTCTCTCTGGCTCGCTTCTTCTCTTCTCGTCCTGCACCTTTAGGGTGCAACAAGTACCAAGCAGTTTCAGTCCCATTTCGCAACCAGGAAGTTGCCGGTGGAGGGTAGCGTGGAGGGTGTGGGGGCCGAAAAGTCAGTGGGGAGTGAAGCGGAGGCAGAATGCGGGCAGCTCTTTTGGGAACATTGAATGTGAAGAAAAAGGCAAAGTTTGGGCCACAGCTTAGGGGGAAAAGGAAGGTGATTTAAAAAAAAAAAAAAAGATTAGATCTATCTGATTTCAAAGCTATTAATCTTTTTCAAAGGTTTTAAAAGCCTTTTTATTTCAGGATAATTATAGATTCCCAGCTAGTGAATAGTAAGTGCTGAGAAGTCCCAAGGACGCTCCACTCAGTTTCTCCAAAGGAGAAACTTGTAGTATATAGTACATACTTGTAGTATAATATCAATAACAAGGATCTGACTCTGGTGGAATGCTACTTTTTTTTTTTATTATGTAACGTTTATATGTCATTTTCATTGTATGTGTGGATTCCTGCCTTCACTATCCCAATCAAGATACAGAACTGTTCCGTCCCCACAAACTACAGAAAGGCTACTCCCTGATAATCACACTGAGCCCCCTCTTTTCCTCCCTCTACCCTTCACCTAACCCCTGGCAACCACTAATTTGTTTTCTGTCTCTATAATTTTCTCATTTCAAGAATGTTAATACAAATTAAATTGTAGAACACGTAATGTTTTGACATTTTCCCCCCTCAGCATAGTGCCCTTGAGATCTGTATCCAAGCTATTGTGTGTATACACAGTGGTCCATTCCTAGCAATTGCTAAGTAGCACCCCATGGGGTAGATGTACTACAGTTTAACCATTCAGCCATTAAGTCCGCCATTTTGGTTTTTTCCCATTTGGGGCTATTACAAATAAAACTGCTATTAACAACCATGTACAGGTTTTTGTGTGGACATACGTTTGTATATCTCTGGGATAAATGCCAGATATTTCCATTGCTATATCATATGGTAGTTGCATCTTTTGTTTTTAAAGAAAATAACACACTCTTTTCCAGGGTGGCTGCAGCATTTACATTCTCACCGGCAATATAGGAGTGACTAGCTTCTCTGAATCCTGGCCTGCAGGAAGTATGGGGATATTTCCTCGTGGTCTTAATTTGTATTTCCCTAATGGCTAGTGAGGTCGAATAACTTCTCATGTGCTTATTTGCGATCTCTGCATCCTCTTCAGTGAACTCTTTGCTCTTGTCTTTGCCCATTTTCTAACTGGAGTTTTTTAATGTTGAGCTTTGAGAGAGCTTTATATATTGGAGATAGGAGTTTTATCAGCTGTGTGGTTTGCAGATTTTCTCCCAGTCTGTAGCTTGATTTTCCATCCTCGTAAGAGAGTCTTTTACAGAGTAAAAGTACCCCCCCACTCCTCGGATGAAGCCCAGCCTTTTAATTTTCATTCTATGGATTGATTATGCCTTGGTGTCATGTCTGGGAGCTCTTCACAAGTCATAGGTTTCAAAGATTTTCTTTCACGTTATTTTCTACAAGTGTTATAGTTTTCCATTTTACATTAAACCTAAGATCCATTTTGAGTTACTTTTTAAATAAATGCAAGATTGGGTTGAGTTTATTATTATTATTATTTTGCCTATAGACATACAATTACTCAACCACAGTTTGTTGAAAAGACAATCCTTCTTCTAATGATTGCTTTGACATCTTTGTCAAAATCAGTTTGCTATATTTGGGTGGGTTCTTTCTGGGTTCTCTATTCTCTTACATTATCCTGTGTGTCTCTCCGTCTGCCAGATCCACACGATCTTGATTACTGTACCCGTAATAGAGTGGAGTGATTCCTCCCATTTTGTTATTCTTTTTCAAAAATGTTTTAACTGTTCTAGCTCCTTCGCCTTCCATAGAAATTGTCGAACAATCTTGTCTGTCTCTATAGAAATCTATCTGGGATTTTGAAAGGAACTTTGAATGTTAAACTTGTATATCAATTTGAGGAGGATTGACACCTTTACTATGTTGAGTCTTCCAATCCATGAACATGGTAAGTCTCTCCATTTATTCAGATCTTTGATTTCTTCCCTCAGTATTTTGTAGTGTTCAGTGTACTCTTCCTATACAGGCTTTGTTAGATTTACACCTAAGTATTTGCTGAGTTATTGTTGTTGTTGTTTTTGAGTGCTTATAAATTGTATTTAATATTGGTGTTCAATTTCCATTGCTAATATGTACAAATAGAACTTTTTATGTATATTTGTCTTGTATTCTGTGACATTTCTGAAGTCACTTGTTAGTTCTAGAGGTTTTTTTTGTTTGTTTTGGTAGATTCCTTGGGTATATTCTGCATAGACAATCATGTCACCTGCAAATAGTGACAATTTTATTTCTTTCAGTCCAATGTATGTGCATGTTATTTCTTTTGCTTGGCTTAGTGCACAGGTAGAATTTCCTGTATATGTCAGCTAAAAGAGGTGAAAGTAGACATTTTTGCCTTTTTCTGAAACTTAGAGGGAAAGCAGTCAGTCTCTCATCACTAAGTATAATGTTAGCTATAGGTTTTTGTGAATGCTCTTTATCAAGTTGAAGGAGTTTCTCTATTTTCCTGTTTTTCCTGAGAGTCTTTATCATGAATGAATGTTGGATTTCACCAAATGTTGAATTTTTTTTATTATCACTTTGGCTAAATAGGTGGCCAAACAGTTTCCTAGTGACCCATGATCCCATTTTCCAAGTGTTCAAACTTTTAAAAATATTTTTGACAACTCTTAGTATTTTCCCTTCCCAAATCAAATCGTGTTTTCTTTTGTTTTTTGTTTTTTTTAATGTTTATTTATTTTTGAGAGACAGAGAGACAGAGCATGAGACGGGGAGGGGCAGAGAGAGAGGGAGACACAGAATCCAAAGCAGGCTTCAGGCTCTGAACTGTCAGCACAGAGCCCTATGTGGGGCTTAAACTCATGAACTGTGAAATCATGACCTGAGCTGAAGTCAGATGCTTAACCGACTGAGCCACCCAGGTGCCCCCTTTTTTTTTTCCACTGTTTATTTCTTTTGAGAGAGTGCATATGTGTGGGGGAGGGGCAGAGAGAGGGAGGGAGAGAACCCAAGGAGGTTCCTTGCTGTCAGTGCGGAGCCCCCAGGCAACATGGAGCTCCATCCCGATCCTGTGAGGCCATGATTTGAGCTGAAATCAGGAGTCAGATGCTTAACCAATTGAGCCACCCAGGGGCTGCCCCAAATCAAATTCTGAATGAAATCTTGATTCAAACTGACCTTGAGATTTCTTAAGAGGGTCCCTGGAAAAACAAAAAGAATTTGTTTCTTCACCTTGTAAAAAGAGAGATGTTAAAAATAATTAGGTTTATTTGAGACGTTGAGTTGCATGGGAAGCACTGTCAAATAAGAAGAAATGTTCAATCTTCATTAGGTTATATTTGCATGGGCAAAATATTATTAATAGAAATGTTTTCTACATTGTATGAAGTTCCTAGAAATTCGTCGATGTGCTCCTAGTTCCTTGATATATCCACGGGCGGCTTTGCCTGATGTTAGAAGAGAGTTACCAGGCATAATTCTAGCTCTTAGTTTTAAATGTTGAATGCTATAGAAGCAGCCATGTTTCTTTGTCAAACGAACACTGATCAGATCTGTAACCACATCATTTTAAGTCTTTTGTTATCCACAGGTAGTTTTTGTTTTACTCGGATGTTTCCCTGAAAACACTGATGACCAACTACAGACCAACATGCTTGTCTACAGCCAAAAGGGACTGTCTCATCTCAGAAACCTATGGAAAGAACCATGTCAGGAATTCTGGGGCACAGTCTTCTGATGGGGTTTCTTGAAAAACTTTGTCCCATACCATTGGACTGAATCGGAATTTTCAGATCTCTCAGACAGAAACCAATGGATTCATGCACTTGCTAACCCAAGATGGAGCATCACAAAAATTAGTAACATAGGACTAAATTCACTGGTAAAGGATGATTCTGGCTTTTGTTTGGAGTATCAGTGATGGTTTAGTGTTCTATTTTCTGAATATAAAGAATCCCTTTTTCTTTTTTCTTCAACTACTTATAACTCGTGCCAGTGTAGTAGATTATACTTTTGTAAGCAGACATGAAACATTTGTCTTTTTCTCCTTGCCAGAGTTCAGAAACTAATACTGAGTATTCTTATTTTCATGGTAGTATAACTCTTTGTGTACTTTAGATAAGAATCTGTCCTCCTTGTAATCGTTGGGGAAAAAATGATTAATACAACCAAGACTTGTATGACTTTGACTGAAATGTCATATTTAAGAAGGATGGACAGAGTCAGATATGACCTGGAAGTCTTAAGGAATTAAGAATGACCTTCTGGAACTGGTGTTTACATAGACCTCTTGAGAAAACAGTCCCAGTTTACAAAGTCTTCTCGGGAAAACTCGGCTTACAGAGTTCCCATGCCTTAGCAGTGAGTAAAAGGGTCACTTCCTGGCAGGCCCAGCATATTTTGGGGACCTCAAGAAGAAAGGAATTCACCCAAATCTGTAGATACTGCAGGTGAAGTCTAGTGTTGAATTCTTGGCTTAGTGTCTTAGCCTGGAGGGGCTTTTAAAAGTCCAATCTGAGATTCCTCATGAAAAATTTTAGCAAACTAAACTAAAAAAAAAAAAAAAAAAAAAGCCTATGTGGTCAATTACCTTTCTTTCTGAACTTGTGTGAATAATCAGGCCAAAACTAATGAAATTACAAATATTTTGTAAACAAGAATAATCTTATTTTGATGATCTGACCCAAAGGGGAAGTGACCATAGAAAGGTTGTGCTTTAATAGAAAACTGTAGTACATCCTGTGGATTATCAGGTCCTCATTTTGTTCGTTGTCTTTGAGCTATTTTTCACCTCTTTGTAAACTGGGAGGTTTTGTTACCTGTCTGTAAATCAGACTGGATCCTGTTCTCTTACACAATTTGTTGGTCAGTACCAAATTCTCAGTTCTTCTTGTTTTCCTTCTGTGTCTGGATACAACTCTCTCAAATGAATCGTTCCAATTTCTCCCATCCTCCTGAATTGGTGTCAGTGAGAACTAAACTCTGAGTGCCCGGCTCTTTGTTGGGGGGCTCAGTTGCTTTGGAGCTGGGCTTTCCCCTCAGGATCTACAGAAGCCCTAAGAGCAGAAGCTGGATGGCTTGATATAGGACTCATCACCATGACAGAGCCGGTGGACACTCTGTGACTGGAGCTGCTGAGCTGGGGGCCACTCTGGAAGATCACTGGGACTCCCACACCATCCATGCTCTGTTCCAGGAAATACTCATGACTGGGGACAATCTTATCAAAATCTCTCTGATGTTAGTGCCATCTGCAAACTGGGAAATCTGTCACATTGCCATCTTTACTCAACTGTCCAAAGACTCTTTGAATCCAGTGTCCATAAATCTCCTCAACTGGCCATCCTTTGAAGTCAGAAACTGGGTGTACAATGCTCTAATCACTAGTCTTTTTTTTTTCTTTCCATAGAAATTCTCCTGTTTAATGTCTGCTTTCTTGCATTAGTAAGTAAGCCTCAACACAAGATTCATTTAGTATGTCAACAACAGAAATGTGCTGAAATAAACTACAGACACCAGATTTCCTATATAAATCTTCCAGACTTATGTAAGTTTTACAATCGGGAATGTCTTTCTCGAGGACCTGGGAGCCATCCGTTTGAAATGTTACCATCAAGAAAGACAAGGCACTGGGGGGGGGGGGAGGGGTGCGGTCAGAGCCTATCCTTGATAAGCACCAATCACAAACACGGATGGTTTTAATCCCATCGACCAATCACCCAATTTACATCCTCCAATACTTTTTCCGCTGTCTTACTCCCACAGTTAAAAACTCTCCTTTTTGTTCCAACAGAATTGAGTTCAATCTTCCCTAATGCAAAGGTTTTGATTGCTAATGGAATTGTCTTGAATAAAATCTTCCTTGCCTCTTTATTTCTGTCTGGCAATTTTTCTTTGACATCCTCTAGTCTACTGTTGAACGCATCTTCTGAGGTTTTTATTTTTGTGATATTTTTTTAATTTTGGTTATTGTATTTTTCAGTTCTAAAATTTTCACGTGGTTCTTATATCTTTTATTTCTTTGTTGAGACTCTATTTTTCCTCTTTTCAAGGGTTCTCATAATTGCTTGCTGAAGCATTTTTATGATAGCTGCTTGAAGTTCTTGTCGAATAATTATAAAATCTCTTGGTGTGGAATCCACTGATTCTCTTTTTAAAACTTCAGTTTCAGATCTTCCTGATCCTTGCTAAGATGAGTAATTTTTTTTTATCAAAACCTGAAAATTTTGATAACTATACATGCTTACATTAAAATAGATGAAGGGTCTCAGATCAACAATCTAACTCTATACCTTATGGAACTAGAAAAAAAAAAAAAGAGCAAAGTAAACCTAAAGCTAGAATAAGGAAGGAAATAATAAAGATTAAGGTAGAGATAAATTTTTTAAAAAGAGAAGAGAAAAACAATAGAGAATATGAACAAGACCAGCATTTAGTTCTTCAGAGAAAAAAATCAACAAAATTGACAAATCTACACTGACCATAAAAAGGAGACAAAGCTCAAATAACTAAAATCAGAAATGAAAGTGGGGACATTATTACTGATTTTACAGAAAGGATTATAACAAAGGATTATAAAAGGATTATAACAAAGTACTATAGACAACTGCATGACAGAAAATTAGATAACTCAGATGAAATGGATAAATTCCTAAAGATACACAAACTACCAAAACTGAATCAGGAACAAATAGAGAATCTGAATAGACCTATAACTAGTGAGGAGAGTGAATCAGCCATCAAAACCTTCTTAGCAAAGAAAAGCCCTGGACTCAATGGCTTAACTGGTTAATCCTACCAAACACTTAAAGAAGGAGTAAAACCAATCCCTCTTGAATCTTTCAAAAAAAATTGAAGAGGAAAGTTTATACTTCACTCATATCTATGAGGCCAGCACTACCCCAGTCCCAAAGCCAGAAGAAGAGACAAGAAAAC